GGGGCCCACGCGGCGACCCCGACACAGGGCGGCACCGGACTCCCCGGCAGAGGGAGCAACACGCAGGGCCCCAGGCGGCAGCCCCGGGCACACGGGCTCTGCGCTCAGAAGAGGTGGAGCCGCCTGAGGCCGGAGCGAGAGCCTCGGGCACGCGTGTGAGGGAGGACGCCCGCCGGCCCCACTCCCGCAGGTCGCCAGGCGCCCCGCGCCCCTTCCCTCTGGCTCTGGCTCCCAGCTGTTTCCGAAGACGCCGCGTCCGGTTTACACCGTGAAGACGCACAAGGACTCACCCAGGCTGTCCAGGGCGTGGTGCAGGAAACAGCCGAACTTGACATGCTTGTTGCAGATGATGTCGGGGTTCGGGGTCCTTCCTTTCTCGTACTCGTTCAAAAAGTCACTGGAACAAAGAAAACGAGCCCTCGTGTGGAAGTGCGCCGCGTTCCGCCTGCTCAGAGCCCTCCTCGCCCCGCTCTGGGGCAGCGGCCCGTCGGGAGGGGCTGCGTGGGGTCCGGCGGCTCCCGCCAGCAGGGGGGCAGAGGCGAGGCTGACTGCCCAGGGGCCTCCCCAGCCCCGAGGGCCTTCAGCGCAGGCGAGGGCCTGGGCAGGTGGGGTGCCAGCGTCTTCATGCAGGCCACTGCCCCCCAGGGTCCGGGCCAGCGCAGGGCGAGGCCCGGCTGTCCACTTTCCTGTTTGTTTAAAGGCCCAAGGAGGTAAGATGCAGGTTTCGTTCTCTCCACAGTCCCCCAACTTTTCCCGCCGGCCACCAGCAAGTGGCCGCTGCACACTGGGTGGCTCATGGCTGGTGGCGCCCTGGGGTGGGGCCACGGGCATGAGGAGAGCCCTGCTCGGGTCCGCCGGCCTTAGCCCAGGGCGGGAAGGGCCAGGGGCGCCGGGCAGGGCGGGCGGGCAGGCCAGCAGCGCCCTCGTGAGGCGTCACCCCCACCGAAACAAAGGCAGCTGCCCAAGACGCAGAATTAGGTCTGGACCCAGAGTTCAACCCAGACCCCGCGCGCCACCTCGGCCGCCCCAGGGTGGCACCCGGCGTGAGCCCGGCCCGCGGCTCCCAGGCTGCTGTGACCGGCCACACCCCTCCCTGGCGTCCTGCTGCTGGCGTGGGCAGACGCCCCCCACAGGCACCGGGGCGTCTCCATCCTGGCAGCCCATGGCCTGGGGAAGGCGGCACCGGCACCCCGCCCCCGCCCGAGGGGCCCCGCGGCGCCCACCTGAACACGTCGTTCCAGTACTCCCTGACGTAGGACACCTGGCGGAAGGGGATGTCCAGGGCCTGGCAGACCCTGGCGGCGTCCTCGCAGTCCCTGTCGGCGGCGCACACGCCGTGCTCGTCCAGGGCGTCCCAGTTCCTCATGAACACCCCGGTCACCTGGTAGCCTGGGGGCGGGGCCGCGTC